ACTGAGACTGTAGGATCTCTACCCTGACTCTGTAAAATGGGGGTCAGCCAAGAATTGAGCCAGGATCTGTGGGAACCATTCAAAATATTATTGTAAACTCTATTCAGCAGTCTTTTAGTGGTAAGGTCAAGCACTCCTTGGTATAATGCTCAGCAGAAAGTGTGTTAGGTCCTCTGTTGATCAGCATTTTAAATTCCGGATCAAGATTTGTAAATGCCACTCAGCAAAGCAAAGCCCTATAGTTGCTAAGGGCCCCTCAACCAAACAGAGTTCTGTGGTTTTTCAGACCAGCTCAGCTAGATAAGAACATTCTACTTCGTGTGATCTGCCTTCCTTAGAAAGAAGGTTCGAATGTGTCTACTTCATTATTATAAACACCAAAATAACTGAGTCACATATGTCATATCTTCACATTTTTTTCTACTACTTGTGTGTGTGTTTGTGTGTGTGTGTGTGTGTTATTCTGTTGGTGGTCTAATATATCTCGATAAAGTCAATTTTATTTTATCTCTATGGTTTTCTAAAATTGCTTTAGTCATAACGGGCAATTATTGTTGCCTTTCTTAACTTCATATTATTATGTTCCTGTTTCCATTTTCAGAAATAAAATCCTACTTCCTATAGGCTCATTTGCTCTGCATGAAACAGCTTTGATGGTTATCAAAATAAGTAAGTCTGGAATAATAAATCCAGTAGAGTTCTGAAATTGGTTGCCCGCTGGTATATTCCTGTCTAATTTTTTTTCACAGTCAGAGTTAAATCTCTCTCTACTGTATTAATCTAAACTACCCTTCGATGATACATATTTCATTTTTAATGTTTATGGAGTTTGCCTTTCCAAATGCCTTCATTTAGAAAATATACTATTTCAATTCTGTTTTTTGTTTCTTACTGATAGCTTTCTATTATTATTTATTTTTAAATCTCAAAATAAAATTTACTTTTTCAGGAAAATTTAGAAGTATAGAAAAATGTATAGAAACTCATAAAAACGTACTCATTAGCCTCAAAGAAAAGTGCAACAGAAAAGTTATACAGAAAAGACTTCATTAAAGACCATTCCAATAGGGAAGAGAGATTGAACTCAACTCTACTGGACAAAAAAATGGGAGCATTTCTAAGTGCTGGGGTGAAGGAGTGTGGAAGTACTCTAGGGTAATAGGGAAGAGGTTGATTAATTTGATGAGGTCATGCATGCTTTATTGAAGTCAGGCTCCTACCCGCCCACACAAACTGGTGTATATAAAGGCTATGTCCTTCCTTGTTTCCATTTCAAAGGGATGACTCCCAGGTCATAGAGAAAGACATTACTGGTTTATAAAACAGGTGAAATACAGGGAAAAGATATGCATTTCAAAGGGGCAGAGAAAAAACTTGCAGTATAAATTTTCTACAGTCAGTGCTCTAAGAAAAGTAAGGTCTAGATATTAGAATTAGGAAGAAACCTGCCTAAGTTTAGTTGAGCAGAGAAATCTTGATCACTAGTTCACCTTTTTGATAAAACTTCTATTAACTTGGCTTTTCCCCCAGTTTCTAGAGGCTTTATTCATAAATATGCTTTAGAAAAGAATGATGGCCGGGCTCGGTTGCTCAGCCTGTAATCCCGCGCCTTTGGGAGGCCGAGGTGAGTGGATTGTCTGAGCCCGCGGGTTCGAGACCCACCTGGGCAGCGAGACCTCATTTCTACAATAAATCAAAAAATCAGCCGGGCGTGGTAGTGCATGTCTGTAATTCCGGCTACTTGGAAGGCTGAGGCAGAAGGATCACTGGAGCCCAGCAGGCAAGGCTGCAGTGGCCGGGAGCGGCCACTGCACTCTAGTCTGGGCAACCGAGTGAGACTCCAACTTAAAAAAAAAAAGAAAAGAAAAGAATGATGAAGCCCATTGTTTATTGAGTCTTGTTCCATATACATGATAACGTCTTATTGCTAAAAATAATATTTTAAAAGTTTTGCCATGATTAAGAGCCAAAAACCATAAGAGAATGTTTTTTCTTTAAACATACTGTTATGAAAATGAAAGTACAGTGACACTGAGAGGGAGAAAATATTTGCCAAGCAGATATCTGATAAAAAGATTTGTATCTAGAATATATCAACTCAAAATCTGAAGGCAGAGAATCCAATTTAAAAAATTGAATTCGGCCTGGCTCGGTGGCTCAGCCTGTAATCCCAGCACTTTGGGAGGCCGAGGTGAGTGGATTGTCTCAGCCCGTGGGTTCGAGACCCCCCTGGGCAACTTGGCGAGACCGCATCTCTACAATAACTAAATAAATAAAAAATTAGCCAGGCATGGTAGCATGTGCCTGTAGTTCCAGCTACTTGGAAGGCTGAGGCAGAAGGATCGCCGGAGCCACTGCATTCCAGTGTGAGTGACAGAGTGAGACTCCAATTCAAAAAAAAAAATTGAATTCAAACTGTATGAAAGGAGAGAAACTTATGAAACTACAAAAACAAAACAAAAACAAATAGCAAAATCAATTCTGAAAAAGAACAAAGCTAGAATTATCACACCTCTTGAACACCCCTTGATTTCAAACCATAGTACAAAGCTATAGTAATCAAAACATTATGGTGCTGGCATAAAAACAGACACAAAGACCGGTGGAGCAGAAGGAAGAGCCCCTAAATAAACCCAAGCAAATATTTTACTTATCTTTAACATGGGTGCCAAGAATACAAAATGGGGAAAGAAAAGTAACTTCAACAAATAGTGTTGAGGAAACTGGATATTGACATACAGAAGAATGAAATTGGACTTTTGTCTTATACCAAGTAAAAAAAAATGAATTCTAAATAGAGGAAAGACTTATATGCAAAATCTGAAACCATGCAATTCCTAGAAGAAAACAAGGAATAAATGCCTTAACATCAATCTTGGAGATAATTTTTTTTAAATATGACACCAAAAGTACAAATAACAAAAGAAAAAATTGGTCAATTACATTAATCTAAAAGACTTCCACACAGCAAGAGAAATATCCAACAAAATGAAAAGGCAACATGTTCAATGGGATAAAATTATTGCAAACTGTATCCATATATATACATATATACATGTACACACATATATGTGATAAGCAATGAATTTCCAAAATATATAAATAATTCACACAATTCAAAAGAAAAACAACAAATAACCTTATTTTTTAAATGGGCAAAGGACTTGAACAGGCATTTTTTTCAAAAAAGACATACAAATGTAAAACAGATATATGAAAAGTTGCTCAACATCACTAATCATCAGAGAAATGCAAATGAAAACCATAGTAAGATACTACCTCACACTTGTAAATATGATCATTATTTTTAAAAAGTGATAGCAAATGCTGATGAGGGTGTGGATGAAAGGGAGGGAAGCCTTGTAGACGTTTTATGGAAATGTAAATAAGTATAATCACTATGGAAAACAGTATGGAGTTTCTGCAAAAAATTAAAAAATAAAACTATCTAACAATCCAGCAATCTCAATTCTGGGTATTTCATCAGAAGGATGAAACCAGGATCTCAAAAAGATATCTGCACTCCCATGTTCACTTCAGCATCATTCACAATAGCCAAGATATGGTCCTAAACTAAGCATTTATCAAGAGGTAAATGAACAGAGAAATTGTGGTGGGTATATACAGAATATTATTCAGCTACAGAAAGAAATCTTGTCATTTGTGACAACATGGACGAACTGGGAAGACATTATGCCAAGTGAAATCAGCCAGATACATAAAGACAAATACTGTATAATCTCAAGAATGTGCGGACTCTAAAATCGTCAGACTCCTAGAAGTAGAGAGTGGAATGCTGATTGCCAGAAAATGGAGGGTGGGGAAAATGGGAAGATGTCGTCCAAAGTGCACAAACTTTTATTTATAAGATGAACAAGTTTTGGAGATGTGTTAAGTAATATAATTGTAGTAATTTTGACATAGGATGTATCAGATTGCCACATTGTATGCCTTGAATATATTCTATTTGCATTTAACAATTAAATGTTTTAAAATTTAAACAATGAAATTTAAATTAAAACCACCGTGGCAAAAGCCACTAATACACCTAATAATTGACTCCAAAGGTCACAAAGTGTCTCCTTGGATAGTAAAAAATTCTATTGTTGGTTATTCTGGTTACACAGCTATGTATGTATTAGTCAAATCTCATTGAACTAGACACTGACAAAGGGTGAATTTTACTATGTAAATTAAACCTCAATTAGCCTGAACTTTAAAAGAGGCAAAAAACTGCATTTAACTTAATTAGAGTCACAGCTAATATTGTAGCCTACATGAAATAAGTATTCTGACATACATTGCATTTGATTAAACATGTATGCATTTCTGCCTGTACAGTGGTATCTAGGGAGATACATTTAAAATCTTATAATTACATGCTAAAATATAAATCTAACACTTTGTATTTGTCTATTAATAAATGTTATAAAATAATGGCTTTAGAAATCCAATAAATCTGTTGAAAAATGAAAAATAAAGTACCTTTCCACTTTTGGGGCTTGTTTGAGCTATGCAGAAGTAACAAAATTTATTCTGCTTGCAATATTTCAGTCCTTAAACATGTTAGTTTCCTCTAATTCCCATGTTGGTGATTCATTGTAAACTTGAAATTTTGCCCATGATTCTGTATTTTGAATTCTAAATGAATAATATTTTAATTAATTTTACAATTATGTCTTTCTTCACTTGTTTGCAATCCATTTTTCACATTTACATATCTTGCTGAATTCAGTCATGCATTTCAACCTAGCTTTTAAATTGCTTATTGATTTGTCTGTTATTGTCACATATACATTTGTAACCATTTTCTTCTGGAGTTGTTTTCTTATAAAGGTTAACTTGAACAAAATTGTGAATGTGTAAAAAGTTTAAAGAAACTATTGACTGTCTGAATAAAATAGCTTTCTTTGGTCCAGGTAACCTATAGTGGTATTTTTTATTGAAACAACACCGTTAGAAAAAGACTAATTATAGTATTGATTTTTTTTTTCCTGTAGCAGTCCTTTGGTGCTACCAATTGCCAAGCAAGACAGCTTGTTGGAAAAAGACATTATGTTCAAAGATGCAACAAAGGGCCTATGTAAGCAACAATCTCAGGACAGCACCCCTGAAAACCCCACAATGAGTGGCCCCGGCAAGCTTGAGCAGGTAATTGCACCTTGATTGCATAACTATTTGTGCTGTTTCATATACAGTAATGTGTTAAGATCCAACATATTGCAAAAACAAATTTCTTCTAATTTCCATTCAAAGAAAAGTTAATGCATAGTTTCACATTTTGTCTACAATTTTATAAGCAGATTTTTAAAATTATAATAATAACATAATAATTATAAAATTATAATTAGGGCAGTCTACTGACCAGTAACACATATACTCAGTGTTGTGCTTTGCAGATGTTAGAATTTTACAGGTTTTGTTTTTGTTTTTTTTCTTTGAATCGTGGTCTTACTCTGTCACCCAGGTCTAAGGGCAGCAGTCGGCATGATCACAACTTACCTTATCCTTGACTTCCTGGGCTCAGGTGATCTTTCTGCCTCAGTCTCCCAAATAACTGGGACTGCAGGCATGTACCACCACGCCAGCCTAATTTTTTAATTTGTTGTAGAGACAAGGTCTCTCTATGTTGTCCTGGCTGGTCTTGAATTCAAGCAATCCTCCTCCCTTGTTCTTGCAAAGTGCTTGGATTGCAGGCATGAGCCACCGTGCCCAGCCGAATTTTAGTGTTACCCTGTATACCAGGAATGTAAGCATTGTTAGACCATTGGTTCTGAGTGATTCCAGTCAAGTCACTTGTCACTATTTGATTATTTTGCATTCTATGTTGTTTGATTTCTGTCAGCTGTTCAAATATTTTGCAAAGAAAGAGAAAGGAAAACCAGTCACCAAGTCGTTTATTCTTAAAAATAATAGTGGTGTTGCAATGCATCTGTGTGTTTATGTTGTATATTGCGTGTGTGTGTGTGTGTGTGTGTGTGTGTGTGTGTGTGTGTGTGTCCCAGTGCCCAAGTTAAGAAGGTAACTTTGGATTTGGAAGGAGGAATGAGCTTGGAGTTATAGAAATTAATGTGTTTTCTTTTATCATGGCAGATTTTTAAACATTTTAGTTTTTTATAAATGGTAGAGTAATTTGCATCCCTGAAAATATCTTTTTTCAGTGTGTCTAATTTTGAATATTTTACAGACATTTTAGCCAAGTTTTTTAAATTAAAATTTCTTACTTATAATCTAATTTTAATGTTATTAATTTGTGTGCTGTTTAAAGGAACTGAAACAGATAAGTAAAACATTTGAAATGCAAGTAAACTGCCGTGTCTTCGCCTACTGCAGCTGCCGTAACAGAATAGCACAGTCTGGGTAGTTTAAACAACAGAAGCGTTTTTTCTCAGTTTTGAGGCTGGAAGTCCAAGGTCAGGGTGCAGGTTGTTTTGGCTTCTGTTCAGGGTGCTCTTCCTGGATTGTAGGGCCACAGAGTGGAAAGAGTGAGGAGGGAAGAGGGGCGGAGGTGAAGAGAAGTGGGAGGAGAGGGGAAGAAAGTCGGGGAGTCACACTCTCTGGAGTTTCTTCTTACTAGAACACTATTGTAGTGGGTCAGGACCCCACCCATACGACCTCTTTTATCCTAAATTGCCTTCTTATAGGCTCTATCTCCTCCAAATATGGTCACATTAGGGGTTGGAGTTTCAACATATGACATATGACTTTGAAGGGACACAATTCATCCCGAGGGAGCAGACAAATTAAACGTTAAGTAAAATTTAAGGCAATGTATTCCTTAACTTTCTTAAGGGTCCTATTAACTTCCACTAGAATTTTAAGTGTCACTGGACCATGTAATTTTTGTACTTTAGTATCTGATGTAACTTCCAGTTCCTGTTTAAGCATGTCTTGTAAGTCGCATCCCGTCCTAGGGAGAAGATGACTTTGAATGAACCTATGTCTAGCACACTCTCTTCTCCCTCATACATTTTCACACTTAAGACTGTAACATTTAGTAATTTAGAAGCTTGTATTTCATTTTCATTGCAACTATTTAAGACTCAAGTTAGTTTGTTGTAAGTGCTGAAGAAAAAAATTTTCTGAGTGATTTTACAAATGTTGAAAATCATAGGTGATTTCTATTTTCTAGTAATTCCCACAGGTAGCCATTTCAAATAAAGATAAATGATGTTGTGCTTTCTCTTATTATGAAGATATAAACCTATACATACTTTAGCTTCGCCAAAATAGTATTTTATATATATTCTCTTTTGCAAGAGAAGGAATTTGGTTTTTTTGCAATAACTCATTTATTGATTAAAATATTACATCATATGATTCTACCATAATCAGTGTATGGTCAAAGGAATTGAGCATTAGTAACTATTGAATGATATTTTAACCCTATAGTTATTTCCTTCATATTTTAATTTATTATTAAGTTAAGAATGGGAATATTGATGTTATTCATTAGATTTCCTACATAAATAAAAGACAACTTTAAACTATTATTTAAACATTTTATTGAGTAGGATTTTAGAAGTGCTTTTTTTTTAACTCATTTTCTTAACAGAAATGTATGGAAGCTCAAATGCTAGTTGATTTTTTACTGTTCAAATGAGCTAGCATTTAACAATGTTAAACACAATTAAGATGTTGCATGACTTGCAGTCAATGTTCACATGTGAATTTATTGTAGATTTTTATTAATTTGCTTTTAGACTGTTAATGAGGTATTTGAGTTCAGCAGCAGTACAATAATAATTATTTATTTAACAAAAAAAGAGCAAACTAGGTCAAACCTTTCATCAAGGTGCTGAGAATTTTCCCTTTGTAGAGTCAAAACAAATTCTGATTAGCAAATCGATTGCTTTTAAGTGACAATTTAGCAAGATGTTTTCAAAAGACATAAAATATTCTTCAAAAAAAAAGGAGATTCACAACATAAGAATGTCAAGTGTAATCTTTATAGAAAGATGTTTTTGTTTTTCATGTATTCTTTTTATAATTGCATCCTAGACATTAAAAGTGATTGTACCAGTGTTCTGTCTGTGTGTTATTGAAGGGGGAATGGCTGCTATCCAGGTTTTATGTTCCTGTAGAACCTACCTAATATTCACCCACGTGTACCTCCTATCTCCCACTGTCTACAGCATGCTCTCACCCATTCATGGCCACCAGGTGCCGGGTGATTCTTTCCAGAGGAAGAGCCGTGGGATTCCCTGGCTGGATTGTACATTCACATTTCGTGGAAAAGCTGCTTTTTTTTTTTTATAAACAGCAGTAAAGTTCTAATTAACATTTTAAAGAGAAACACTGTAGAACTGAAATACTGTAGAACGTTCCTTAAATTAAAATAAAAACAACTTGGCATTTCTCCTTCCAGATTTTTATAAAATGCAGATCTTATCAAATAGTAACTGTGTAAATGAATATTAAGAGCTAAATTTAATCCTTCCTAGTTTCTGAGAACCACCAACATTGACATTTGGTTTTATAATATATCTGAGAACATAGAACTGTTCTTAAGTTGCTCAAAAATTGCAAGATGTTCCTCCTTTTCCTCCCTTATTGTCCTGGTTTCTTCTCTCATCCCAACCCTTCCATTAAAGCCCTCTTCCATTCTCCTGATGTCCTAACTCTCTTCCTTTCTTCTTTCCTCCCAGAAAATATACAATTAAATGTAGATGAAGCTTGAAATTTAAGTCATGTCTTTGTGCTATCTAGAGAATCCGTGGTAGCCTAGAAGTACAGGAAAAGGGTGATGGAGTCCTGCTCTGGTCCAGGTCTGCTCCCTAGAAGCTCTGAGTCTAGAACTTCGGAAACCTTACCAACCTTCATCTGTGAAATGGGTACAGAGTAGCATCCTTGTATGGTCGTTATGAAGATGAAGAGCCATATGCTATAATGCAGATGGAAGTAGACGAGAGCCATATGTTATAACACAATGACCAAGAGCAGAATATAAGCTCAGTAAGATACACACATTATTGCTACTGTTATTGTAGTATAGACTGATAATTACAGCAGTAATGTATACACTACATCGATCTGCTCTTAATCCCTGTAATTCCATTCAGCACATCCACCAGGTTTTTTGTTGTTTTAAACACAGGATTTATTGAGAGGACAGAAAAGCCCCTACAGTGGGAGGAGACCCAAAGGGGTTACCCTTCCACCAGGTTTTATTTTTTTCAGTGTAAATGTAGATTATGTTAGAAAGTAATAATACAAAATAATACTTCACATGGGTTAACATGTGAAAGCTGAAAAATGCTTTCACCCTGCACTATCTTAGTCCTCAGTATATAAATCATTGTGTGCAGGCTATGGTCCACTTTTACTACATAATTTAAACTCAAGTTTCAAACAGAGTCTTAATTTACACTAACCAAACTTAAGCTCAAGAGAGGGGAATGAAGTGCCTAGCATCACACTTGATTCTTTTATTTCATATGCAGTGATCTTCAGGGGGTCCTACTGCAGGTTTCAAAAATTGGCAAGAATTGTCTTGCAATAGTCCATACCTACGCACTTGTTCACACACATGTACGTCCTCAGGCAGCAAAAGGAAACTGGAGAGACTTTATGAATTTCACTGTTTTGGAGGAATCTAACAGAATGCGAAAAGAAGGCCAAAACGACTGCAGTCCTATCCAGGCATGGCCAGGGGCTTAAGCTCTAGGAACCTTAGTAAAGTATTTGTCACGTTACTGCTTGGTGTGATCATCCCAGTCACCTCCAAGCCTTTTTATTTCTCTCTTTGTTTTGTTTTGTTTTGTTTTGTGGACTCCTTCTTGCTTTTCATTTATCCATAATGGGTTCTTTCCCTCCAAACTACCTTTCCTCAAATCTGGTTGCCCTTATCCCACGAATTAGACCATCTGTGTTGTCCATTGGGCTTCTAGTCTCTGGATATAAACTATCAATATCCCAGAGAGAAATCACAAACAAACAGAACAATCCAAAACAGTGAAGCCTACAGTGTTCAAAGCAGTGTAGAAACAGAGGAGACAGGCCGGGCGTGGCGAATGGCTCAGCATATAATCCCAGCACTTTGGACAGCCAAGGCAAGAGGATTGCCTCGATCCTGGGGGTTCGAGACCAGCCTGGGCAACTAAGCGAGACCTCGTCTCTACAATAAATCACAAAAATACTAGCCAGGCATG